AAAAAAGGGAAAAGAAAAAAAAAAGGGAGTAAGAATATAAAAAAAGGGAAAAAAAAAAAAACGGAAAAAAAATAAAGAAAGGTAAAAGAAAAAAGACAAGGGGAAAAGAACTAAAAAAAAAAAAAAAATAAGAAAGGGGGAAAAAAAAAAAAAAAAAAGGGGGAAAAGAAAAAAAAAAAAAAGAAATAAGAATAAGAAAGGAAAAAAAAAAAAGAAAAAATTTAAAAAAAAAAAAAAGGGAAAAGGGAAAATAATAGAAAGGGGAAAATGAAAAAAAACAGGGGTTAAAAAATAAACCCAAAACCCGGGAAAAAAAAAAAGGAAAAGGGAAAATAATAAAAAAAATAATAAAAAACCCAAAGGAAAAAAAAAAAAAAAAATTTAAAGGGAAAAAAGAATAAAAAAAAAAGAAAAAAAGGGAAAAAAAAAAAGAAAAATAATTAAAAAAAGGGAAAAGAAAAAAAAAAAAAAAAAAATACCAAAAAGGGAAAAATAAAAAAAAAACAAAATGAAAAAAAAAAAAAAAAGAGAAAAAAAAAAAAGGAAAGAATAAGAAAAAATAAAAAAAAATAAAAAAAAAGACAAGAAAAAAAAAAAAGGTAAAAAGAAACCCCAAGGGGAAAAAAAAAAACCGAAATAGAAAAAATTTTAAAAAAAATAAATAAGAAAAAAAAAAAAAGAAAAGAAAAATTTAAAAAAAAAAAAGGGGAAAAAAACCCCAAAAAAGGGAAAAAAAAACAAGACAGGGAGAAAAAACCAAAAACAGGTGGGAAAAAATAAAAAAAAAAAAAATAATAAAAAGGGAGTAAGAAAAACCAAAATTAAAAAAAAAGAAAAGAAAGGTAAAAAAAGAAAAGAAAAAAAGAAAACACAGAAAAAAAAAGAAAAAAAAAAAAAAATAAAAAAAAAAAAAAGAAAAAAAAAATTTTTTAAAAAAAAAAAAAAAAAAAAAAAAAGGGGAAAAGAAACCCCCGGGAAAAAAAAAAAAAAAAAAAAAAAAAAAAAAATAACAAAAAAAGGGAGTAAAAAACCCAAAAACATAAAATAATAAAGAAAAAAAAAGAAACCCGAAATGAAAAAAAAAAAAGAAAAAGGGAATAAGAAAAAAAGAAAGAATAAGAAAGGGGGGGAAAAGAAAAATAAACAAGGGAGAAATAAAACCCAAAAATAGAAAGATACCCAAAAAGGGAAATAAAATAAAGAAGAAATGCACCAAACCCGGGAAAAAAACTACCAAAAAAAGGGGGAAAAAATAAAAAGGGGAAAAGAAAACCCAAAAAATGAAAAAAAAAAAAAAAAATAAAATAAGAAAAAAGGGGGAAAGAAAAGAAAGGGAATAAAAAATAAAAATAAAAAAAAAAAAAAAATGGGGAAAAAAACACCCCGGGGAGAAAGAAATAAAAAAGTAATTTAAAAAACCCCCCAAAAAGATAAAAAAAAAAGGGGGGGAAAAAAAAGAAAAACAAGGGAAAAAAAAAAAAAAAAAAAAAAAATTAAAAAAGGTAATAAATAAAAAACCAAAAAAAAAAAAAAAAAGGGGGAAAAAGAACTAAGAAAGGGAAATAAAAAAAAGGGAAAAAAAACCCCAAACAAAAAAATAAAATAAGAAAAGGGAAAATAGAAAAAAAAAAAAAAAAAAAAACCAAAAAATAATTAAAAAAAAAGAAAGGTAAAAGAAAAAAAAGAAAAAAGGGGGAAATGAAACCAAAAAGGGAAAAAAAAAAAAAAAAAGGAATAAAAAAAAAAAAAAAGGGGAAAAGTAAAAAGGGGGAAAAAAAAAAAAGTAAAATGAAAAAAGAACAGGGAAAAAATAAGAAAAGGGGAAAAAAATACCAGAAAAAGGGGGGGTTTAAAAATAAAAAGGGGAGATTTAAAAAAAAAAAAAAGAAAAATTTTGAAAAAAAAAAAAAGAAAACCAGAAAGGGGAAAAAAAAGAAAAAAAAAAAAGTTTAAAAAATTTAAAAAAACCCAAAAAAAAAAAAATAAAAAAAAAAGGGGAAAATGAACAAAAATGGGGAAAAAAATAAAAAACAGGGAGAGGGCCAAAGTAGGAAAAAAAATATTTAAAAAAAAAAAATTAAAATTTTTTTAAAAAAAAAAAAAAAAAAATTTTAAAAGGATTTTTTTAAAAAAAAAATTTTTTAAAAACAAAAAAAAAAAAATACGAAAAAAAAATTTTAAACCCCCCCCCCCAAAAAAAAAAAGAAAAAAGGAATGGAAATCAAAAGGAAAATCCGGCAAAAAAATTTTTTTAAAAAAAAAGGGGAAAAAATTTTTTCCTTAAAAAATTTAAACAAAAGTAACAAAAAAAAAGGCCCCAAAAGGGAATTTTTAAAAATTTTTTAAAAAAAACCAAAGAAATTTTTAAAAAAAAAAAGAATAAGAAAGGTAAAAGGGGGAAGTTTAATTAAAAAAAAAAATTTTTGGGGGGAAAAAAAAGGGGGGAAAAAAAAAAAAAAAAAAAGGGGAAACATGGGGTTTTTTTAAAAGAAAAAAAAAAAAAATAAGGGGAAAAGTTTTCCCCCTTTAATTTTTAAAAAATAAAAAAAAAGGGAAAAGCCTTTTAACAAAGACTTACTTAAAAAAATAAAAAAGGGAAATTTCCCCCCTTTTTCTTTTTTATAAAATGTTTTTTTATTTTAATTTTTTTTGGGGGGTTTAAGGTTTTAAGGGGATTTTCGAAGCCCCCGGGAAAAAAAAAGGGGGCCCTTTTTTTTTGAATTACTTTATCATTTATCCCATTCTCCTCTACCCCAGGTTTTGTTGAGATATAGACTGCAATAATTAGTAACTGAGAATCAGTTACTATTTATGGGAATATCTGTCTGCGAGATTTCATTAAATTATTTAAAATTATGTGAGATAATTCTTTAGTCTCTACAGATTTAACGACACTCTTGCTGCACATCTTTCCTTCTTAAACCTGCGCCCCTTCTTTATTTGCCACCACTCTCGTTGAACATCTTGTCTTCTTACACTGAACATCGTCTTTATTTCAATTATTTTTAGACTGAATATTTCCTTTACTTGATTTTCTAGTTTAGGGTCAGATAGATCCACGCTCTTCACATACCTCATCTATTGTATCTATCGTCTACTGGGGTTAACCGCACACTGCGGGTCTTCCCACGTTGTAATTATCACATACAAAAGGTAGCAACACACTGCGTGTGTTCCCACGATGCAATTATCAAAGAGAATAAGGTGGTCACACACGACGCTTCTTCGCACTGTCTAACTGTCATAAAGTACGTAGCTGGACACTGCGGCTGTTCTTACAGCATCCTGTACTCTACTGATACTGGAAAAAGGCATAAACGCATTACTTGTGTACCTACACTCCTCTTATTACTTTCTTGGTCGTCTCTATCCACCTGTCCTTTTCCCCGTTTATTCTAATTTATTTCTGGTGGCCTGGTGGTTAACGCTCTCGCTTCACACGGTGAGGGCCTGGGTTCGATTCCCAGCCAGAGTAGAAACATTGGACGTGTTTCTTTCCACCTGTTGTCTATGTTCCCCATCAGTAAAATGGGTACCTGGGTGTTAGTCGACTGGTGTGGGTCGGATCCTGGGACACTGACCTAAGGAGGCCTGGTCACAGACCGGGCCGCGGGGGCGTTGACCCCCGGAACTCTCTCCAGGTAAACTCCAGGTAATATTCTAAATATCATTTCATCATATCCTTATATATCCTGCAGGCGGGGTCGGGACGTCTGTTTCTACTGCGCCAAGAAGATCCTGCCAGCAGGATTACTTACCAGGAGTGGAGCGAGGCGCCCAGGCAACGTATGAAGGGAATGACTCAGGAAGGAGCAAAGACAGACACGGAGCCACAGATGTCTTCAGCCACGGAGCTACAGATGTCTTCAGCCACGGAAGCGAAGGTGGAGCAGCCTACGTTAACGCAGGAGCAGAAATGGAAGATCACAGCCTCCAGGGAATCTTAAAAGGTTATTACACCAATCGGGAAAGGAGTAAGGAGCGGGAATCGGACTCTGTCTACCGCGCAAAGATGAAGCGATTACTTCCAAAGGGACGAGGTCTGCCACAACGTGAGAATGACTCAGAAGGGCTAAGTCTGCAGGAGTCCACAGATGTGCGTGCCCCTCAGATGTTCTCTCAGCTCACGAGCTGGACAGCCTCTCTCGCTGACTCTCTCGCTCCAGTCTTAAGGTTACTCTCACCTCAAATAAGACTACACAGCTCTAGCCTCCGCTGCTGTTACTTCAAAAGATTCTCTCTCTCTACTACTCTTTACATCTGTCTTGCTCTCCTATCTCTGCGTGCTCCCTCGCTCTCTCTCTCTCTCTCTCTCTCTCTTCTCTCTCTCTACCTCGTTGATCGCAACCTGCCCGCCGAATATAACAAATCAATAATCATTTACGAAGCTATAAAATAATAACAGTAACAGCGGTTATAGAGAATATAAACACTTTACCATGAAATATAAAATGAAGCATTCTAGCTAGTTTTTTAATTATATATATATATATATATTATATATATATATATATATATATATATATATATATATATATATATATATATATAATATATATATATATATATTAAAAGGGAAGAACAGTGCCTGCACTCTGAAGGAGGGGTGTTAATGTTGCAGTTTAAAAACTGTAGTGTAAAGCACCCTTCTGGCAAGACAGTGATGAGTGAATGATGGTGAAAGTTTTTCTTTTTCGGGCCGCCCTGCCTTGGTGGGAATCGGCCAGTGTGATAATAAAAAAAATATATATATCATATGTGTGTGTATGTGTATATGTGACTTCCTGTGTGTGTATCTCTGGTTGACAGGATGTTTCGCCATAAGCTTAAGTTACTCAGATGTTTCTCGTATTACTATTTAGTACCCCTGCAATTGCTGCTACTGCAACTGCTGCTGCGTCTGCTGCTCCTGCAACTGTTGTTTCTGCGCTACAACTGCTGTTGCTGCTGCTGGTTTTACTGCTTGTGTTCTACATCTGATATCTGTTATGCTGTGCTGTTACTACAAGTGATGCAGCTGCTGCTGCTCTGACTGCTGTTGCTGCTGCAGAAGATACTATTACTATTATATTTAGAAACACCAGTAATAGTTATAAAAAAGAATTTTAATTCTCCAACTAATTTGCTCCAAAAAAGCAAAATGAATCGGAAAATTTAAACAAGAAGAATGATAGGAGGAATAAAAGCAAGAATATGTAAGAATATATAAGGAGATCTTGAGAGTGAAGAATAAAAGCAAGAATATATAAGAATATATAAGAAGATCGTGAGAGAGAACAGCATAAGGATGACAGTGTTACCAATACTATATGTGATATATACTTACGTCCTCACAACAGGTAAGACACATTTCTGTACGTCCTATAATGGTCCAAGTAGGACCGAAACGTCGTCGTAAGTTTCAATCTTCTGTGTGTGGGTTATGTGTGTACTCTATACTGTTGTCAAGACACAAGGTTATCAATAAAATGCTGCAGCCACAGTTGTGGTTTCCATCCCACAGAAATACTTAAGTATGTACGTCAGTAAGTAAGCATTAGCCGATATTTTAGTCGATATTTTACAAAACAATCTAAAAAAAGGGATAAATCCCACTAGACCCCCCAAAAAATCTTGCTCAGGAACCCCCACCTTAAGATGCGACCCACCTGTCCTAATGACCTCCTCGTCCCTCTCAGGTGCGTCCATCATCACCTCAGATCACACGGAGGTGGTGATGGAACTTCCTGACAACGAGATAGTCACCCTGATGGCGTGTACCTCGGACGCCAACACTTGGTTTACTATAAAGGGAAAAGGCACCAGTCCAGACACCCAAGTTATCACTCAAGAAGTTATAGAAGAAAAAAACAAACTTCACCTCATCTTTACGCACACTGTAAGAAATTTGTGATCATTGTTTTAGCATATACATATGCATGTATATTATTATATATATATATATATATATATATATATATTTATATATAATATTATATATATATATATATATATAATATATATTTTGTCATGCCGAATATGTAAAACTGGTCAATTAAATTAAGTCCTTTCTAAAATTTTCTCCTATACGTTTAAAGATATATTTTTTTTTCATTAATGTTGATGTACAAATTCATAATTTTGCACCAAAAGGAACTTAGAAAACTTACCTAACCTTATTATAGCAGGAACAATTTATTTTAGCCTAACTCAACTAAATATATTTTAGATTTGTTTGCAATAATTTAATACTAAACAAACACAGTGAAATATGTATATTTTTTTCGTTAGGTTCAGAATGATTTTGGCGAAATTATTGCATACACAAATTTTCACTTGTCCTATACAAAAAAAATAAAAGCATTAATGATGCAATCATAAAAATGCTAGATCTGCTTTACACAGCATTGGAAAATAAGGAATATCCACTAGGAATTTTTATTGACCTAAGAAAAGCTTTTGACACAGTAGACCACGACATCCTACTCCACAAACTTGACCATTACGGTATAAGAGGCCATGCGCTTGTTTATTTAAATCTTACCTTACTAATAGGTATCAGTATGTTACCATTAAAGACACAGCATCACAACACGGCCACTTGATACTGGAGTTCCGCAGGGAAGTGTCCTTGGTCCCCTGCTCTTCCTCATATACATCAATGATCTTCCAAACGTATCCCAACACCTGAAACCCATTCTCTTTGCTGACGACACTACTTATGTCATCTCTCACCCTAATCTTGCCACCCTCAACACCATTGTTAACGAGGAGCTGATCAAACTATCGACTTGGATGACAGCCAATAAACTGACAAAACCTACTATATTATGTTTGGTAGCAGAGCAGGAGATGCACAAATTAACATTAAGATCGACAACACTCTAATTACCAGACATAATGAGGGCAAATTCCTAGGCCTGTACCTTGACAACAACCTGAATTTCAGCACCCATATCCAACACATAACCAAAAAAGTATCCAAAACAGTTGGGATCCTCTCCAAGATACGATACTACGTGCCGCAAAATGCCCTTCTCACACTATACCACTCACTTATTTATCCTTACCTCACCTATGCTATTTGTGCTTGGGGATCAACTGCAGCAACACACCTAAAGCCAATAATAACCCAACAAAAAGCTGCAGTAAGAATAATCACTAAATCCCATCCCTGGCAACACACCCCCCCACTCTTCATAGATCTAAACTTACTCCCTGTTCAGTACATCCACACTTACTACTGTGCAATCTACATCTACAGGACCTTAAACTCCAATATCAACCTTGACCTAAAACGCTTTCTTGATAGTTGTGACAGAACCCACAGGCATAACACCAGACACAAACATCTCTACGACATTCCCCATGTCCGACTAAACCTTTACAAAAATTCAATGTATGTCAAAGGCCCTAAAATCTGGAATACCCTACCTGAGAACTCTAGAACTGCAGACACATTCATCACCCTCAAAACTACCATTAGAAAACATCTTATCTCCCTGATAAACCCATCAACTAACTACACGAATACCACCTGGTGGTTCACACTTACACTCACTCACCCATTTGACCATAAACAGAAATATTAATCTCAATCTTAAAATAATGAATCCTATGATACTCCAATACTGAAACTATGTACTGTGCCAAAACAAAAGCATTCACATTGCTAAACTCACAAACTAGTATTTAGTCACTTAGCCATAATACCAACTTACCTCATAATTTGTAATATTTTAAAATAAAGAATTAAACTAAGTCTGCCCGAAATGCCTAGCCATGCTAGGCGTTCTAGTGGTATACTCTGTAATCATTATTTAACTACATGTAAACCACACAACAACCAAATTCTGTAAATTCAACATTGTAATCTTTATAGAGAATAAACTTTGAATTTGAATTTGAATTTGAATACGGCAAGATGAGCGTTGCTATTTAAGCCAAGATCGCAAGTTCTGCCTATTCGGCACGACATATACATATACATATATATAATAAAAATAATGATAATAATAATAATAATAATAATAAATAATAATAATAATAATAATAATAATAATAATAATAATAAAAATAATAATATAATAATAATAATAATAATAATAATAATAATAATAATAATAATAATAATAATAATAATAATAATAACAATAATAATAATAATAATAATTTCTTTTGTACATCTCGTACAGTCTGTCACTATGATCTACGTTGGAGTACTGTGTCTGGACTTCGACCTGGGGTCACCTTACAATCGTACGCTCATCCTCAGCAGTGTGAAATCTGTCTTGTGGCGTGTGTGTGTGTCACTGCTGAACTGTGTCGTGAGTCCTCCTGAAGAGTTGTTTGGTGTGTGTACTCACCTATCTGTACTCACCTATTTGTGGTTGCAGGGGTCGAGTCTTAGCTCCTGGCCCCGCCTCTTCACCGGTTGCTACTGGGCCCTCTCTCTCCCCGCTCCATGAGCTTTATCAAACCTCGTCTTAAAACTGTGTATGGTTCCTGCCTCCACTACGTCATTTTCTAGGCTATTCCAATGCCTTACAACTCTATGACTGAAGAAATACTTCCTAATATCTCTCTGACTCATTTGTGTCTTCAACTTCCAATTGTGGCCTCTTGTTTCTGTGTCCCCTCCCTGGAACATCCTGTTTTTGTCTACCTTGTCTATTCCACGCAGTATTTTATATGTCGTTATCATGTCTCCCCTGACCCTCCTGTCCTCCAGTGTCGTCAGGCCCATTTCCCTTAATCTTTCTTCATAGGACATTCCCCTTAGCTCTGGAACTAACCTTGTGGCAAACCTTTGTACTTTCTCTAGTTTTTTGACGTGCTTTATCAAGTGCGGGTTCCAAACAGGTGCTGCATACTCCAGTATGGGCCTGACATACACGGTGTACAGTGTCTTGAACGATTCCTTACTAAGGTATCGGAATGCTGTTCTCAGGTTTGCCAGGCGCCCATATGCTGCAGCAGTTATCTGATTGATGTGTGCTTCCGGAGACATGCTCGGTGTTATGCTCACCCCAAGATCTTTCTCCTTGAGTGAGGTTTGCAGTCTTTGGCCACCTAGCCTATACTCTGTCTGTGGTCTTCTGTGCCCTTCCCCTATCTTCATGACTTTGCATTTGGCAGGATTAAATTCGAGAAGCCATTTGCTGGACCAGGTGTCCAGTCTGTCCAGGTCTCTTTGAAGTCCTGCTGGTCCTCATCAGATTTAATTCTCCTCATTAACTTCACATCATCTGCAAACAGGGACACTTCTGAGTCTAACCCTTCCGTCATGTCGTTCACATATACCAAAAATAGCACTGGTCCTAGGACCGACCCCTGTGGGACCCCGCTCGTCACAGGTGCCCACTGTGATACATCAATACGTACCATGACTCGTTGTTGCCTCCCTGTCAGGTATTCTCTGATCCATTGCAGTGCCCTTCCTGTTATATGCGCCTGATGCTCTAGCTTCTGCACTAATCTCTTGTGAGGAACTGTGTGAAAGGCCTTCTTGCAGTCCAAGAAGATGCAATCAACCCACCCCTCTCTCTCGTGTCTTACTTCTGTTTTTTATCATAAAACTCCAGAAGGTTTGTGACACAGGATTTGCTTCCGTGAATCCGTGCTGGTTGGCATTTATACTCTTGTTCCGTTCCAGGTGCTCCACCACTCTCCTCCTGATAATCTTCTCCATAATTTTGCTACTATACACGTCAATGACACAGGTCTATAGTTTAGTGCCTCTTTTCTGTCTCCTTTTTTAAAATGGGAACTACATTTGCCGTCCTCCTTACTTCAGGTAGTTGCCCAGTTTCCAGGGACGTGTTGAAGATTGTGGTAAGTGGCACGCACAACATATCTGCTCCCTCTTAAGGACCCACGGGGAGATGTCCGGTCCCATTGCCTTTGAGGTATCAATGTCCCTTAGCAGTTTCTTCACTCCTCCTCATCTGTATGTATGTCGTCCAACACTTGTTGGTGTATTCCTTGCTGGTGTCCCCATCTGGTCTGTCCCCCCAGAGTCCTTCTGTCTCTACTGTAAATACTTCCTTAAATCTCGTGTTGAGCTCCTCACATACCTCTTGATCGTTTCTTGTGAGTTCTCCACCTTCTTTCCTCAGCCTTATCACCTGGTCCTTGACTGTTGTCTTCCTCCTAATGTGGCTATACAGCAGTTTCGGGTCAGATTTGACTTTCGATGCTATGTCGTTTTCATACTGTCGCTGGGCCTCCCTCCTTTCTGTGCATACTCGTTTCTGGCTCTTCTACTAATCTCCTTGTTTTCCTGGGTCCTTTGCCTCCTGTACCTTTTCCATTCTCTGTTGCACTTAGTTTTTGCCTCCCTACACCTTCGGGTAAACCAAGGACTCGTTTTGGTCTTCCTATTATTTCTGTTTCCCTTGGGAACAAACCTTTCCTCTGCCTCCTTGCACTTTGTTGCCACATATTCCATCATCTCGTTTACTGATTTTCCTACCATTTCTCTGTCCCACTGAACCTCCTGCAGGAAGTTTCTCATACCTGTGTAGTCCCCCCTTTTATAGTTTGGCCTGTTCCCTTCAGTTCCTGTTACCTTCTCCACTTGTAACTCTACTATATAATCAAAACTCAGAACCACGTGATCGCTAGCTCCAAGGGGCCTCTCGTAAGTGGTGTCCTCAATGTCTGAACTGCTCAGGGTGAACACAAGATCCAGTCTTGCTGGCTCATCCTCCCCTCTCTCTCTGGTTGTGTCCCTGACATGTTGATGCATGAGGTTTTCAAGTACACATTCATCATCTTGGCTCCATGTTTCGGGGACCCCCATGTGGCTCCAGGTTTTCCCAGTCGATCTCCCTGTGGTTGAAAATCGCCCATTACCAGTAACTTTGCTCTGCTCGAGTGAGCTCTTCTTGCCACCTCAGCCAGTGTGTCCACCATCACCCTGTTGTTTTCTTCGTACTCCTCTCTTGGCCTCCTGCAGTTCTGTGGTGGGTTATACATCACTCCATGACTACTTTATGTTCTCCGGACTGAATTGTACCTACAATGTAGTCTCTTTCTCCATCATGTCCATGCCTTCCATTTCCTCAAATCCCCATCGGTGTTTTATGAGCAGTGCAACCCCTGCTCCCCCTCTACTCCTTCTATCTTTCCTCAGGATCTGATTCCCGTTGGGAGATTGTGTCTGTTATTGTCTCAGCGAGTTTTGTTTCTGTGACTGCTATGATGTCTGGGATTTTTCACTGATTCTTTCGTTCCCACTCCTCATGTTTATTCATTATTCCATCCGCGTTTCTGTACCAACTTTCAGTTTCTTTTCTATCTTGTGGTCATGCAAGAATATTGGGGTTGGGGGAGCGAGAGCCTTGGTGGGGGCCTATATGGGGCTGTGGTGTAGTGGGGTTTGTGATGATGGGGGTGGGTCAGAATGCCCATAAGGACAGTGTTGGGGTGAGGTTTTTGATATGGGGGTTGGTGGCAGAGGGAACAGTGAGTGGGTTGTTGTATAGGTTGCTCATGTTGCGTTGGGGAATGTCGCGGTTGGAGTCTTTTGGTGGGAGATTCTGTGGGGTGTGTTTGCCCTTCCTCCTGTGTGTGTGTGTGTGTGTGTTGTGTGTGTGGTTGTGTGTGTGTGTGTGTGTGTGTGTGTGTGTGTCTGTGTGTGTGTGTGTGTGTGTGTGTGTGTGTGTGTGTGTGTATGTGTGCGTGTGCTTGTGTGAGCAATTACTTCTGTATATACCTAATATAAACATCATTTAGATTAACATTTATATACAGTTCCTTCAGATGAAGTTATCGATAAAAGTCTTTCAACTTTCAGCCATCCTACCTCCGACATGTTCAATACAGGAATTATTGGAAACTGAAGCAGTAGATAACGTCTTCAAGAATTCCTCCGGCTCCTCTAACGTCTTTAACATCTACCCAAGAGAAATTTCTCCCTCCCCGAGCCTCCCAGAAGCCACTGAGGTTCCCGAGTGTACTCCTGAATGCATAGATGCCACTAGCAATGCTCCAGGGTTCCTTGACGGCGAGGTTATTAAGCCAGGAGCAGCATACCTGGCGACGTGTACCCAGACAATGAGAGGTCCCTGTCGGTGTCCAACGCAGGTAGCGCTGGTGGCCCTGTGTGTAGTGTTTGGTCTTATCTCGCTCCTCCTCACTATCTGTATGTGCTGCAGAAGGACTCACCAAAAACTGTATCCAGGTAAGTTGAGAGGTTCTCTATTTTCGCGTGTGTCTTCCGGTCCGTGTTATTATCTACCAATAAGCGTCTTGCTCTACCAGCTGAAGTCATTCTCTACCAATATATGTGATTCTCCATCTAAAACATTGTGTTGCCCTACTTTACCAGCCTGTGTATATCTGAACCAGTCTGTGCCATTCCTCACTGTGTCTATGTTCTAAAACAAGTTATCTTCATTCTGTCTAGGAAAGCTCCACAGTAAATACTTTTAATTTCAGGCTCGCCAGAAGCTGAATATTCCCTCGACGTGGTGACTGTCCCACTTTCTGAACAAGAAAATATCTCCTTCGGACGAAAGGGAAAGAAACGCCAGAAGAGAGACTTCCCTCAGAAGGAATAATAAGGCAGTTTGACGAAATGTATTAGACGACTTTTCGCTCTGTATAGACCTTTCCCTCCACTTCTCTCTCTCTCTCTCTCTGTCTCTCTCTCTCTCTCTCTCTCTCTCTCTCTCTCTCTCTCTCTCTCTCTCTCTCTCTCTCTCTTCTCTCTCTCTCTCTCTCTCTCTCTCTCTCTCTCTCTCTCTCTCTCTCTCTCTCTTTCTCTTTCTGACATTCCCATCTTTATTCCTTTATGAAGTTCTATGGTACTAGGCTGTAGTTCAGACATAAATAGTAACTGAACAACAGGATGGTAGTTATTATTATTATTATTATTATTATTATTATTATTATTATTATTATTATTATCATCATCATTATTGTTATCATTATTATTATATTCATGGGGAAGCTAAAATTCTTAAGGGTCAGACAGCGCCCAAGGGGAATGGAAGACAATCAGTTCAAGGAGTAAGAGGAAACGAACTTTTGTCTTGAATAAGAACCGGTCAGGGGATAAAGGGATTTCCCCTTGAGAGGGTAACAAGTGTTTAATTGTAAAACCATTTTCAAATAATTTTGATCTAGTAGAGAATCGTGAATCTCAATTTTTATTATTTAATCAAAGGGGAAGCACTAAACCCGGAGGAAAATACAGCCCTGGGGGGGGGAATTGGAAGGCATTCATTTAAATTTTGGGGGAACTGGGCACAGATCCAATTTCCAAAATCAAGAGCCCCTCATCAACATCAAGGGGAACCCTTCCTTGGGGGGTGTAAAACATCAGAGACGGGCCCGGGTCGTGCGCGGGAGTTGACGCCACTATAAAAAAAATTAAATTGAAAAAAGTACGGGTGTCAGTAATTATAATTCTTTTTGAGTTTTCCAAAAAGACGGCATTAAAAACATTACAGCCTTTCCCGGGGAAAGTGCATCCCATTGTCACCTTGCCTTGTTCTTAAAAATAAGTAAGTAGTAAGTTTATCGGATCACAAATACAGCTCATAGAATTACTCATAGCAGCAATTTGCAGAGAACCTAGGAAAACCCCAAAAAAGTCAGACAGAGTGATTTATTTCCATGGGCCTAGAGTTTTTTTATATATGGGAACCATATCACCCTTGCTCCAGTGCTCCGGGGAAATTTTTGAATATTCGTACATCTTTTCTCGAGGTCAAACGGGAAACGTGGTAAACGTCGAAAATTAACGTTTTGTTTTTTAAAAAAGAAACTCGAATTACCACTTGTAGCAAGTTTTTACCGCTCCTTAATAAACCATTTCCGGGATTAAGTGTGAAGGTGAGAAAAATAAACGCGATATACTAATGTACGAAGATAAGTGAAAGTTTGATGAATGGGGGAAACACACGGGGCCGGGAACACAACAATCTTGTGGGGGAAGTCGCGACCAAGGCGGACGAAACACAACATTGTGAAGATGTCAGCAACACCTGCTGACAGAAAAACAATCATTTGGGGAACGTCAGTAACACACTGCGACCAAAAAAACAAAAAATCATTTGGGGGGGACGTCAGAGACACACGCGACCAAAACAACAGCTTGTGCGGGACGTAAATAGACACACTGTGACCAAAACAGCAATCATTGGGAGACGCAGCAGACACTTTGCTGCCAAAACACAACATCTTTGTGGGGGACGCGCAGACAAAACTGCTGACCAAAACAACAATCTTTTAAAGGACTCTGACACACGCGCCAGAAACAACAATCATTGTGAGGGAGGTCAGCCGACACACTGCTGACAGAAACCAATAACACACTATACGTGTCTGTCAACTCTCTATACCGTTACAAGCTTTCCCCGGCCGCAGGGGTTTCCAAACCTCACTTGAAAAAAAAGGCCCCTTTTTTCCCAGACGGAGGATGAGTTTTCCCCCACTCCTTACCCCCAAGAGGAAAAAAAAATGAAAATTTTCCGTAAGTAAAAGTATTTTTAATGATCATTTTATTAAATGGGCAAACTCATATTTCCCTAGTTTCAGTTAATGGCACGAACAAACAATACAAATGATCACTGCTCAGTGTTTAGCTGATCACGTATTGAAAAAATATTCGAATACCAAGAAATAAAGACAAGAAAAAGAAAAGATACGATTATTTCAATTCACAGTGAGTGACTCAAAAATAGTAATGACACGTTTGCAAAAAAAACCAACCAGGGTGGGGTTTAAACCCCGCGGATTTCAAACCCCACCCGTGGTATATTTTTTTTCACAGTGAGACACCCTTTGCACACAAAAAATTTTCAACACTTTTTCCTATTATCTGTTTTATGAAACCCTTTTAGTTTTGTTTGGGCCCAAATGCAGTGTTTGTTTGCTTCTGTGGAATAAATAAAAAAATAAATAATGAAACCCTTTAGACATCAGGATATATAGAAAGGGCCCGGGGTCTGCTAACCTCCGGGTCGAACCCCCAAAAAAAATCTTCCCAAATCCTACCTTTCGTTACGCTATACAAAGTGAAAAATCTTTATTTTTAACTTAACAATTACGACTTTTTACCTTTTTCATAATAACTACAATAGAAAATGGAACAGAAAGGACTAAGGGAGCTTTTTTTAAAATTCTTGGGAAAAAAAAAATCTTGAAAAATAGTTTAGACGCAAAAATGTTTTGATATTTTAAACGTTTTCTAAAACGTTTTTTTAAAAAAAAAAAAAGGCTAAAAGGGGGATAACATGGTGTTAAATAATTTAGATTTTTGTTAAATTTTTAATCCGGAGATTAACCACCATTGTCTATATTTTTTTTCCATTGTGGCCCTTTAATTTTCCCCTTCAGGATGCGACCCAAAACGTCAAAACAAAACCGGGTTCCCTTCCCCAGGTATTTATTTCTCCCAGGTACCTCTGTCTCCCAGGTATCTTTTTTTTCCCAGGACCTACTTTCTCCCAGGTCCCCCGTTTCCCCCAGGCCTTTTTTCCCCCGGTCCCCACTGTCCCCAGGAAAATTTCACCCAAGTACCTAAAGGCAGCAGGGTAACGAAACATGCCCTGGGTACCCATTTACGATGGGGAACATATCAACCATGTAAAAAATACGTCCAATGTTTCTACCCTCCTGCAAATTTTGAACCCGAATCCTCGACGTTGAAGCGGAGCTTTAGCCAAAGCCACGGGGACGGGGTACATAAATTACAATTACAGCATAGTAACATATTTTTAAAAAAATTCCCAAAAGAAACCCCAAAAAACGTTAGACAAATTGACTTTTTTCCATCGTGGCCCTTTTAAAATTGGAAGGGTTTTTCATCACGGGAAAGGGCAACCTCCTAAGTCGAAATCAACCAGGTTTGTTTAAAAATAAAAATTTTGCTTTGAGCCAGTCGGGGAAATTTAAATATCTGACTTTTTTAAATTCCTTTACCTTTTTAAACCAAAAGTAGTATTTAGAAACTAGTTTATAAAAGTTTTGTGACAGTTTAGCCAGGAAAATGCAAACCCCTTCTGTATTTTTTTCCCCCAAAATGTGTACCTCTTCAGTACAGGAAAGACTGTGCTAAACTTAAATCCAAAAACACCATCAAAAGGGGGAAAAAAAAAACAAAACTCCTGCCAGGGGAAAACCCTTTGGGTAGCCACACCACTCAAGAGGGAAGAGGTTTTTTTCCCAGGAAGGACAAAAAACGGGCAGGAAATGGCAAAAATCGACCCAAATCCAGTCTTTCCCGGGGGAACCCACAGTCATGGCCCCCACCCAAACCAACAGATACAGTACTAATCCCGGAAAAAAAAACCTCCCCCAGTCCCAACAATCCCACCAGCCGATGACATTTTTTTGCAAAATAAAAAGGTCTAAAGCCAGCAAAAACAACAAAATATTTTTCATCCGGGGACTGCTTGCAAGGCAAAGGCAAGTTCGCGGCTTTCATGAACCCACTAAAGGATCATTTGGGACAACGAAAATGGATCCCGGGTTTTACAACCTATACAGTGTGACAGAGTAACAGAAAAAGGGGGGGGGGGGGGTGCCTGTACTTGCAGAGTCACTTTTTTTGCACAGAACTCTTAATGCCCAAAGATGTAGTGGAAGTTTTAGCAAAAGATCGAAACAAAAACCCAGTCTTGTGGTAGTCTACAAGCCCCGGATGCAAATCCCAGCAATTCCCCGGAATAGCTGTTAAAAAAATTTACCAGTCTGGAAAATCTTTCCCGCTCCGCACCCAACACTTGCTCCGGGGGGTTTCAACTTTGGCACCTAAAATGGAGGAAAAAGCAAAAAAATTGTTCCAGTAAAAACACCAGGAGGCAGCCCCTGATGAAAAACCCCACTCACACGAGCTTTTTAAAAATCTGAAAAAAATTCAATTTAAAAAACCCGCAAAAAATAAGCCCACTAGCTGGGAAAACCTAACCTCATCTTCACAAAAAGATGACTGATAAGAAATGTCAAACCCAACAAAAACAATAACTCAGATCACAACAAAATTGAGGGGTTTAACATTAGCGCGGAGCCCCAGACCCAAAAATAGATTAGTACGGGGCATTCACCAAATTCAATTCAATAACAAAAACATAAATGGGGCCAAGTAAACCAAGTCCAACCGATATAAGCTGGGGAAAAATTTTCTAACAACCAGACCCCCCCTTTTGCCCAGAAAGATTAAAATTGGTGCACTCGATGTTTTACAAGCTTTTCCCAAGAAAAAGAAGGAGTAGATGTAAAAAAGAAAGAGACAAGCCTCCTTTTACAGCGCGGGAAAAAAAAAACAGAGCGCTTTTAAAAAAGGTCAATATATTTGAAATGGGAGGAACACTGGTCAGAAAAACAAACCCAACTTAAACTAAAGAAAAACTTAAGAGTCAGGAACGTGGGGAAAAACAAAAGCCATAAAAAAAATCGAAAAAAAAACCGAAGTATTTTTTTTCCTAACCCAAAACAAAGTCGAGAACAACGAGTATTGGGCCCCCACTAACAAGATGGTCCTAAAAAAGATGACACAAGGAAATGAGTAGCTACTCAAATCCCAATATGACCGTTTTTTGCAAGCCCCTAACCAGACTGGGTCGAAAATCAAAATGAATTTTTTATGGAGGCCCGAATTTGGGTTTAAAAAAGCCTATCCGATTTTTTCCCGACGCCAAATGACTTTAAAAGGGGATAAATGACATGCCCTGCACTCTCCCCGGGCCAG